TTTTTTAAAGAATTATTTTACTTATCTTTATTTATTTGCTTACTTATTTTAATTTGACCAGAGAGGGACAGAGAGAGAGAGAGAGAGGGAAAGTGAGAAAGCGAGCCCTCAGGTCAGTACTCAGAGCACAGTTGGCCATGTGGGAGTCTAGTGCCCCCAACCACCGTACCACCTGCCGGATCCAAGCTATCCATTTTTAAATACCTACTCCATTGGCAATGGGCCTAACACTGTCTAGGCAAGAGAAGTAGTACACAGCATGTGTCATGAAGGAGTCTCATTCACTTGTTGGCTGTGAAGTCCTTCCTAATTGACTTGAAATTCCCACTGAAGGGATGATTTTACTCTTTTGAGTTAAGAATACAAGGAGCAGTTCTTTTGAAAGATGCTTTGATGGGTCAGCAGGTGGTATGGAGGTTAAGGCTACTGGATCCCATATGGCCGACTGTGTGGTTCGAGTTCTGAACGTGGCAGCACAGGCATATGTGTACATGCCCAAAACTCCAAGAGGAGACTGGAAGAGAAGGGACTGTGGTGTGGCCATCCCCTATGGGGGTGATATCCCACTTCCCCTCTGTCTCTCACTGGTGAGCACATGCACTCTATATCAAGACTAAAAAGGGGGGAAATATTTTAACAGGCCAGTAGGTTCCCCTCTGTCTCTCACTGGTGAGCACATGCACTCTATATGAAAACTAAAAACGGGGGAAATATTTTAACAGGCCAGTAGATGACGTGGAGGTTAAGGTGGCTGGATTTCACATGGCAACTGCACGGTTTGAGTCTCAGACCAAGTGGCTTGAAAAACATGCCAGGTGCATGTGCATGTATATCCCTGTATAATCCTGAGAAGAGACAATCTCTCACTGGTGAGCACATGCACTCTATATGAAAACTAAAAACGGGGGAAATATTTTAACAGGCCAGTAGATGACGTGGAGGTTAAGGTGGCTGGATTTCACATGGCAACTGCACGGTTTGAGTCTCAGACCAAGTGGCTTGAAAAACATGCCAGGTGCATGTGCATGTATATCCCTGTATAATCCTGAGAAGAGACAATAGGAGAAGGTGTTGAGCCATGGTCATCTCCCCTAGGGAGGTGGTGATTTCTCACTTTCTATACTTTCTCTGTCTGTCTCTTTCTTTCTCCAACAAGTGCACATACTCTATAGCAAAAACTAAAAATAAATAAATAAATAAAACTAAAACTAAAAACTAAAGGAACCATATTTTGAGTTAAAATGTCATCATTATGGGGCCAGCAAGTGGTGTGGTGGTTAAAGGTGCTGGAGTCCCACATCGTCGACCATGGTTCAAGTCCTGAACCTGGTGGCTTGCTTTCTCACTTTCTCTCTCTCTCTCCCTCTCTGTCTGAACAAACTGGAAAGTAATAGTAATAATAAGTAAAGTTTAAAAAAATTTCAGCATTATGTATAAGCGAATGAACTCCTAGATATGTCCTCTTCTCCCATCCCCATTTTCCCATTAGAACAGACTGTGTTTTGTTAATTCACTAACGGTTATTTCAGGATGCATAGTGACTGTGCTTGGAGGGAAGTGGCTATGGTCCTTAGAGGAAATGGAGAGGAGGGAATAGAGGATGAAGAATGGCAGAAGAAATTTGACATGGCAGGCCAGCTAGGACACCTTGTCCGTAATTATTGGCCAGTCTGTATGTATGTATCCAGGGGACTATTTCAGGTAGGTGGGGCCGAGAGAAGAGAGAGAAGATAAGGGTGAATACCTGATTAGATTAAAGAAGAAAGGCCCTAGAGGATGGAGCACCTGGACAGGGAGGCTGAGACCAGAAACAGAGGGAAGGTGCTAAATATCAAAGTTACCTCCTCAATTTTGTTCAGGGCTACACAGTAACTTTAGAACAACCTGGACTACAAAGCTTCTCTTCTCAGTCTTTCTTCTATAAATAATTCAACCTTGGACTTTTTTCTCTCTCCCAAAACGTGCCTTTGGTTTAATTTCATCTCCCCTTCATTGCCCAGCTACACAACCAAAATCTTTAGGAGCTCCTTGTTTCTTTCTTTCTTTCTTTCTTTTTTTTTTTTTTTTTTTTTGGGGGGTTTTTCTTTTATGTGTTATGTC